AGGGGGGACGAGGAGGCTTCAAGGGAGAGGAGGATAGGTTCGATTTGGGGTGCAAAAGAGCACGAAAGCATGAGGAGGGAAGGAAATTTGATCAGAGATAGTTCAAACTTGTCTGATCAGATTTTCCCGTTGGCTACAAGATTGTCCACCTTTTCTGACGAGAGTGGTTGCAGGGGAGGGCCAAAGCGTTTGGGCGACGGGTTGTTGAACCATGTGAAGGTGATTTTTCTGCAGAGTAGGTGGTCAGGAGTAACATGAATGTACAACAGAACTTCCTTCAACAGAGGACTGCAGAGCTGGGAGGAGAAAAGATTACTCACGGTGAAGTCCATCCTCTTCATTGAAGAGACTGACCCTCTAACCTGAAATACAACAGAGGTGACAGTTTTCGACCCGTTGGAGGTTTTCGGCAAGGGAGGAGCACTGGAGGAGAGCGGTGCTGAGTTGAAGCACCCTCACCACTTCTTTGCCCCTGGAAAAGCGCCAGCTGGCATGGATGCCATGGCAAAGAAGATCAAGGAGGCGGACTGCTACGTGGTTGTCTGCGCCGAGTACAACCACTCCATTCCTCCTGCTCTCGCGTCCATGATGGGACACTTTGGAGGATCCAACTACGCTTGCAAGCCTTCTGCTATCATCGCCTACTCTGCCGGTCCCTTTGCTGGAGCTCGAGCTGCGGTGGCTCTCCGTCCCTTTCTAAGCGAGCTGGGCTGTCTTCCTGTCTCAAAGATGGCTCTCTTCCCCAGCCCTAACGAGTACCTCGAAGCCGATGGGACAGTCAAGGACCCTGACAATCGCATGCTCAAGCAGATTCCTGGCGTTGTGACTCAGCTCGAGTGGATGGCGATCGCCATGAAGAACCAGCTTGCCAAGTATGGGCCAATGTCGGCATAGGAAGTTGTTACCCTTGTCATCAATAGCTACAGTAGTGATTGCGTAAAGATAAATTGCAAACAAGTCCAGTAAGGATGAGATTGTGAAAAAGTTACAACAGGATATCTTATGGTCAAAAGCTACTTCAAAAGGACAACTGATGAGCATTCGAGTCGAAGTCATGCTATGTTTCCCTCTTTACATAACGAATCGTTTAGGAGCGGGCAGCGCGGTCAAGGAGTCCGAAGGTCTCGGCGAGGACGGAGGCAGCAGTGCTGGTAGAGACGGTGATGACCTCTCCCTGTCAACCGAGTCATCCTCCGCACCCTCAACGCGTACTCCACAAGCTCACCTTGACCTTGACGAGCATGTAGTCGTCGTAGGTGTTGGCCTTGCGTCCCTGGTACTCCTTGGTGATGCGGTCGCATCCACGGTGATCGAAGATGGTGATGACAGGAGCGATAGCCTTCTTGTCCATCTCGGCTCCAGCAGCCTTGGCTCCAAGGAAGGGAGCGACGGCAGCAGCAGCACCGCCGGCCTGGACAACCTCCCTGCGGCTGGGGCCCGCAGACATCTTCAATCCACTCTGCAAACAAGTCAGCAGGGATGAGAGGAAAGAGAAACGACAACCAAGGCGGGAGTGGAGAAGGCGGAGGCGGAAGCAACTACGGCAGCGAGAGCGATAGACCTGTTAGAAACATGTAAGTGAAAATCCCTGTGGTTTGCAGTAACAACGATTCCATCTTTCAAACTATGCTTCTAGGACGATTAGGTACACTCTAAATCAAATTTCAAGGCTTGCATCATCCTCCAACAAGAACACTGCTGAAATGTTTTCTCGCATTCACAAGTTTGCTTGCATTCCAATTGACAACAATCAATACAACACTTTAAGACAACAATTGTTGTTTTGAGATGAGAGCTCAAAACGGATACAACCTTAATCCTATGATTGAGTTGTGCCCTAACTGTACACTGAACCATATCCTAGAGCATCCACACCCACACATGTGCCACGACTATCTCCTTACACCAACAGATTGCTTGTCCTGTTTTAATTGTCTCTTTTGAATTGTATGAGATACAGTTCTGTTCTACTCATCTTCCCCTGCTCACGATCCTTCACAGATGCATCCTCCTCCCTGTGCCCTTGCTCCTGCTCTTACATGTACTCCTTATCTTGCTGTTGCTCTTGATATGTTTCTTGTTCGTGTTTCTGTGTCTATTCCTATTTCCCGTCTCATTTCAGCCATCTTTCTGCTCACTCTCGCTCTCATCGTCTTGCTCCCATACGCTCATCTGCATCTCACCTGAGCATGGCGGATGACGGTTCTGTCTGAATCTCGTAATATTTGTATACTACCCCTCCAGACCTCACCCCACCCCTTTGGACCAACCACCCTAATGTGCTTTACACCCCCTTGCAACCAGCACAAGGTACCCACCCTTGATATTGTAGTGAACTATGTCCTTCCCGCTTTCAGTTCGATCCATGTATTAGTACCCCTTCAAATGACTATCTGTGAACCGGTTAGTCAAAACAATGACCTACCCCACTGACTTGTTTTGTATTACCCCTACCCCCAACAATTCCAGTAATAACCCATCTCGCATCATTTCTACCCCACCCATCCCCAATTCTATCCCTACCCCCCGACACCTGATCTTGGTTACCCTACCCCTCAGTGAGGCGACCCCCACCCCCCAAATTGACATGTCAGAGGAAGTGGAGGCCACCTCAGGGGGTAGGGTAGTAAGGGGTATTCGAGGGGGTGATAAAAGGACGTATTGAAGGGTGAGTAAATTCTCAGGGGTGGGGGTGGATGACATTGCTGGGTTTCTATGGGTGGTTGTTATACATCCCGTAGGTGGGGGTAGACTTGATGCAAGAGGTGGGTGGTAGCTGCTTCTCCTGGCACTGCACTGAGGAAGGCCGGGCCCCCCGGGCCCTGGGCCCGGGCTACCCGGGGGCCCGCGCCGGCGCGGGCCGGCCGGGGCCCGTCCGGCCTGCCCCCAGACGGTCGAATCGTCAACTCATCAGTTCCGAAGTTCCCGAGTACCGGATCCCGGAAGGGGACTCACCGTGCCACAGCAAGCGGCCCCCGGGAGCGCCGGGCCCGGCCCGCCGGAGGCGGCCGCGCCGAACCAAACCTAAATTCTGCCACTGTCACTGCTGTCCCCGGGCCAAACTTAACTGGTGCCACCCGGCGTCCGGGAGTCCGGGCCCGCCGCCTCCCGGAGGCCGCGAGTCAGGCTTCAGTGGTCGGCCGGGACTCCGGGCCGTTTGTCCCGCAAAAAAAAGTTTGACAGGTCCATGGGCAAGCAGAAGAGCGAAGATGAGAAGCAGAGGAGGAGGATCGAGCGTGAGGTGAGAAACTCCGGGACCGTGACAGCAGTCTCCCATCAGTCTTCCTTACCAGATGTTCCCCCAGCTCTTGCCCTGCTGCCTCCTCCCTTCCTCCTTGCCTTGTGACTTCACGGTGTCCCTCTATCGCTAACTTGCTCTGATCTTTAGGATGCAGCACGCGAGGCACAGAACCAGCTCAAGTTGCAAATCACAAACTTCAAGGATGCGGCATGGGAGGAGACGCGCGTCAAGTTCGGTCCCTTCTGGGTCACCAAGAGGATCCCCAAGGAGACGGCATCTCACGCGCTCAAAAACCAGCGAGCGTCGGAGATGGAGGCGGAGGGCGATCTCAGCTTTGAGGACGAGCCTCCTGAGCCTCTTCCTATCCCTGCCATCCTCGCTCAGAGGCCTCAGAATCGGCCCAGGGGCCTCGTCTCCCGCTTCAAGTCTCTCTTCTCCCGCTCGCCAACTGCTGCGGCTGCTCCTCTGCCCCGCGACAAGATCCCTTACCAGAAGCCTGCCGAGGCCAAGAAGCCGACCTTCATCGAGAAGGCGACGGCAGAGGAGAAGCGGCAGGCGAGGCTGCGCAAGGAACGCAGGAGGAGAGCGAAGCTGAAGCAGCTGGACGATCGTTTCGATCGCGATGCTGAGCCAGAGCCCGAGCCTGAGAAGACGGAACCTGTGAAGCGGGAGGAGCAGGGGGCCCTTGCCATCCGCCCCTCGGAAGATTTCTTGTGGGATCTTAGGGAACAGTGGGCATCGTTGAGGATGTACGTCAGCGCAGACTCCTCGCACATGTTCCCTGAGCTCCGGCTCCTCCTGGACGTTGTTCTCCCCAAGGTGCAGGCGTACGGGCGAGAGAGGCGGGTGAGAGTCGTTCCTGTTGCCCTCACGCGGGCAGCGAATGGAGGACACGATTGCGGGATGAAGGCGAGGCTGGAGGAGATGAAGAGGAGCCATGTCATCCTGTTGTTCCAGGGAACTGTGTATGGTGAGGAGGAGGTCGAGGAGGAGGAGGGGACATTTCGGTCAATTCAAGAGATAGAGGCCATTCAAGCGCTGAAGCTAGGGAAGGGAAGGGAAGGATCGGATGTGAGAGCGGCGGCGGGGAAGAACAGGAGGCAGGACAAGACTCAGAGCATGGGAGAGGCGTGTGTCGTGCTGTTGCAGAGAGGTCGGCAGTTCATGGAGGGAGTGCCGGAGGATTTCCATCACTTCTTCGAAGACAGCGATCCTGACAAGAGGAGGAGGCAGACTGACTTGCGCAACAAGTGCAACAAGGCAGCAGACGCCCAGCAGGCAGTGGAGAAGCTGATCGACTATCCTTGCTCGTTCGAGCAGACGGACGAGGACGATTTCGAGCTCGGGAGAATGGAGGTGCTAGAGGAATTCCTGCAGCGGACTATAGAGGACTACATCCTGACCCACTTTGACATGCTGAACCCTCACGCGCTGCGACTGACCAACTTGAAGATCGACGCCAGGTCCCAGAGGAGCTGGCTGATCCGGAACCGGCCGGACGACCTGGCTACCTCCTCTTCGGCTCCTTCCTCCCTCTCCTCCACGGCTCCTTCCTCTTCCTCTCTCTATGACAAGTTGGCAGCGCTCATCCAGGATCCTGGCGTGCGCACTCCGATCCTCCTGCTTGGGTGCAGCGGGCAGGGCAAGACGTCGTTCCTTGTCAACTTCCTGTATCGCTACTTTGACTCCGAGACTCTTTTCTCCCCCGACGGCTCCGACCCGCACAGTCTCCATCCTCTCCCTCCTCCTACCCGGGGCTCGAGACATCGGGGGAGAGTTTTCCCCGAGGTTCACTTCACCTGCGCGAGCGTTTCAGCCAGGAACCCGTCGAGGATGCTCCGTCGGCTGTGCGCTAAGGTGGCCGCGAGATTCTTTATCATGAAGCCGGAGGAGGTGGAGGACGACTATGATGGTCTCTGCGAGGACTTCAGGAGATGCTGCCGGGACGCCGCCTGGTCCAGCAGAGGCGACGAGCTGCTCGTGTTCGTCGACTCCATCGAGGAGCTCTCCTGCTGGGAGCGATACTGCTCGCATGTCAGCCGGCAGCCGCCATGGCTGGGAAATGGCCCGGGATGCATGGCGCAGGAGCAGGATGCTCTTGTGGAGGCTGCCTGGATCCCCGAAGAATTTCCTGCTCCTCCTGCCTTCTCCGTCAAACTTGTGCTGACGCTGAACCACGAAGCGCGCCCTGACATCCTGGCCGCTCTCAGAGCACGAACGTATCGGCCAGTTGAGCTGGAGCTGGAGCCGACGAGTCACAACGACTGCGTCGACCTACTCCAGAGGTCTTCGATGGGCGGGAGGGAGGAGGAGGGAGGAGGACGGTGGAAGTGTCAGCGATCCTGGAAGACGGCGGAGAGCAAGCGTCGCTCATGCACGTCACGCTCGGTAGGATGTACATCCTTTCCCAGCTGGAGGCCCACGAGCGAGTGGAGAGGGTGTCAAACACGCTGACGGACCTGATGGGAGCTGTGCTGAATCACATGGAGGACCACGAGGACCGGGAGGAGGGTCTTGTCGGTGAGCTGCTCGCCCTCCTGTCTGTCACACGTCGAGGGCTGCTGGAGGAAGAGAGCTGGGACGTGATGCGGACCCAGGCAGCGTCTCTGCAGTTCGAGCTGTCGTTCGCTCGCTTCCTGCAGGTCGTCCACACAGCTGAGCCGCTGCTGGAGTGTGTATCCTCGAGGAGGGACGTCAGCGTGGACAGCGTGATGCGGCTGAAGCACGTGCTGGTGCTGCAGCTGGTGCGGTCGCGGTACGTGAGCTCGGGGGAGGCGGAGGCAGAGACGCACGAGCACGTCGGGGAGATGTTCCTGCGGAACTTGAGGAGCCTGAAGATGAATGAGATCAGCGAGGGGACGGCTGAATGGCTGAGGAGCAGGACGATCTCTGACATGCAGGCGCGAGCAGCGAGCGAGGTTGGGTTCCACTGCATCGGGGCGAGGAGGAAGCGAGACTTCGTCAACGTCCTCTGCAGCCTCCGCCTCCTGGAGGTTCGCTTCATCCTCAAGCTCCTCCCGGTCATCCTCGAGGACTACAGGCTGGCGATCGCCCAGCTGGAGGAGGAGGCCGAGAGGCTCAAGGGGACGCGGCACATGGAAGTCCGGGAAGAGAACCTGCTCCTTGCTCGCCAGCTCCGCGAGTTCGCCAAGTTCGCCTGCGACCACAGCAGCGAGCTCATTCTCCGTCCCTCCAACACCTTCCAGTCCGCCGCAAACTCCGCTCCCCAGCTCGCCCCCAACATCTCGGCCCGTTCGATGATCGAGAACAAGACGGAGCGGCGGATATGGCTCAAGTACCACAACCGCAAACTCCGCGACAAGCTCGCAGCTCAGCTGCAGCTGAGAGCGTCGGTGGTGGACTTGAGCGTGACTGCAGACTTCAAGTTTGCGGTGCTGGGGATGAGCAGCAGGGAGCTGGTGGTGATCGACGTGCTGACCAACACAAAAAAGGCTGAGCTCAAGGACATCAGGCGATCAGTCGAGAGCGTCGCGATCTTCGGCAAGTTCGCCGAGGTCGTGCTGTCAGGCTCGAGCGACGGGTGGCTGACCTGGTGGAATCCAGCTGGGGGGATGAAGGAGATGTCGCTGCAGCTGCACGACTCGGAGAGGGGGAGGATCAATCGGGTGCGGGTGGCAGAGGACGGGAGCTTCCTGGTGACGGCGTCGGGGGACAGGAGCATGAAGGTGGTGAAGATGAGGGAGAAGACGACGAGGCTGAGCCTGACGGGGCATCGAGGAGGAGTGACGGACTGTGACGTCAGCAGGGACGGCGAGCGGCTGCTCTCTGCGTCCGAGGACAAGACGATCCGACTGTGGTCGCTTGAAAGAGGAGAACCCATACAGCAGTTCACCGGCCACCATGAGGCCGTTCTCAGGTGCTGCTCCTCCCCCCATCGCTCCTCTCCTTCCTCCTCCGTCCTCCTCTTCCTCCGTGTCCCCTTCCTCCTTCTCCGTGTCCTCGTCCTCGTCATCCTTGTCCTCCCTTTCGTTCCTGAATTGCTCCCTTGTGCCCCTTCCCTCTTCGATGCTCCTGCCACCACCACCACCTCCTCCTCCTCCTCCTCCTAATCCTCCTCCTCCACCTCCTCCTCCTCCTCCTCCTCCTCCTCCTCCTCCTCCTCCTCCTCCTCATCCTCCTCCTCCTCCTCCTCCTCCTCCTCATCCTCCTCCTCTTACCTGCTCGCAGCTGCTGCTTCAGCGGGTACGACTCCGAGCTGTTTGCCAGCGGGTCGGCGGATCAGACGATCAGAGTCTGGGACATGAGGACAGGATGTCTCATCCGAAGCCTCAGGGGACACAAGGGGAAGGTGCTCCTGCTCCTGCTCCTGCTCCTGCTCCTGCTCCCTGCTCCTGCTTCCTGCTCCTGCTCCTGCTCCCTGCTCCTGCTCCTGCTCCTGCTCCTGCTCCTGCTCCTGCTCCTGCTCCTGCTCCTGCTCCTGCTCCTGCTCCTCCTGCTCCTCCTGCTGCTCTTCCTCCTGCTCCTGTCATTCTTTGCTTCTGCTGCTACCGTCGCCGCTGCTGCCGCCGCCGTCCTCCCTCTCCCTCTCCTGTCCCCCTCTCCTCTTCTTATCACTCCTCCTTCAGGTCTTGTGTGTAGCAACTGCTGTCGACGGTCCCCAGGTCGTCAGTTCAGGAGAGGACGGGACGTTGCGCATGTGGAACCCGGATGGGGGCATGCAGATTGATCAGTGCGGGAGGGAGGGAGGGCAGAGGGCGAGCAAGCAGCAGAGTCGCTTCCCGCAAGGGCATGCGGGCAGGGTCGTGCGCTGCTCCTTCGCTCCAGACTGCCTGCAGGCGATCTCAGCAGGAGAGGATGGGAAACTTCTTGTGTGGAACTTCTCTAGCGGCCACACCGATCGAGTCAACTGCGTGCAGGTCGATGCAGTTCGCTGCTCCTGCTCCTGCTCCTGCTCCTGCTCCTGCTCCTGCTCCTGCTCCTGCTCCTGCTCCTGCTCCTGCTCCTGCTCCTGCTCCTGCTCCTGCTCCTGCTCCTGCTCCTGCTCCTGCTCCTGCTCCTGCTCCTGCTCCTGCTCCTGCTCCTGCTCTTCCTCCTGCTCCTGCTCCTGCTCCTTCTGCTGCTCCTGCTCCTGCTCCTTCTGCTGCTCCTGCTCTTTCTCCTCCTCCTGCACTTTCTCCTCCTCCTCCTTTATCCTGCTCTCATTCTCTTTATCTCTTTTCCTTCTTCTGTTCTCTCCTTTTTTCTCCCTCCCTCGTTTTCCTCCTCCCCTCCCCTCTCCTCCTCATCTCTCTTTTTCTTTCCTCTCCACTCCTCTCCTCCTCTCCTGACACTCTTCTCAGTTCTCGCACAGCGGCTCCAAGATCGTCTCCTGCTCTGACGATCGAACTATCCGCGTCTTCGACGCCTCCTCAGGTACTCAGCTCAAGTCCATCGAGAGCCACGTGGGGCCAGTGCTTGACCTGAAGCTCCTCCCTCCTCCTCCTCCTCCCGCTCCTCCTCCTCCTATCGTCGCCACTGGGTCCGCCGACTGCTCTTGCATCCTCTCGGACTACGAGCGAGGCCTCATGCTGACCAAGTTCGGCGGGAAGGGAGCGAGGGAAGGGAGAGAGGAGGGGAGGGACGGGGAGGAAGGAAGGGAGGGGAAGGAGGAGAGGGAGGGGCACATGAAGAAAGTTCTCTGCATCGCCTTCTCCGAAGACGGTCGCTACTTTGCGTCAGGATCAGCAGACGCCAGCATCCTCTGTTGGAATCTCAAGGAAGAGAAGAGCGTTCTCCTGCGAGGACACACGGGGGAGGTCAACCAGCTCCTCTTCACACGCGACCTCATCCTCCTATCTGTCTCCTCCGACGCCTCGTTTCGTCTATGGTCGTTGCCGGAGGGGGAGGAGGAGGAGGAGGAGGCGGCTGACAGGATCACTGCAGGAGCATCTCGAACGGCAGCATGCTTGCTTCCTTCTCAGGGCACGCGGGGCCCGTGCGGTGCCTGGCGTATCATGCGGGGAGAAGCATCGCATGCTCGGGAGGTTTCGACTCCTTCCTGCGCGTGTGGGACCTGAAGACGCTGAGGGAAAGTCTCGTCTTGAGAGGACATACTTCTCCGATCTCCAGCGTCTGCTTCAGGCAAGAGCTGCTCCTCTCATCTCCTCTCCTCTCCTCCTCTCCCCTCCCCTACTCTCCCCTCCCCTCCTCTCCTCTCCTCTGCTCTCCTCTCCTCTCCTCTCCTCGCCTCTCCTCTCCTCTCCTCCTCTCTCCTCTTCTGTGCTCTGCTCTGCTCTCCTCTGCTCTCCTCTCCTCTCCGCACCTCTCCTCTCCTCTCCTCTCCTCTCCTCTCCTCTCCTCTCCTCTCCTCTCCTCTCTCCTCTCCTCTTTTCTTCAT